GCAAAGTGCTGACTGAGCAGAAGAACAAAGCGAATTGCCAGCATGCTTGCTGCATGGGTGCATGGGTGCATGGGTGCAGTATGGCCAGAGGTTGAGCAGCAGGCACTGCGATGGATGAGAGAGGGGCCGGGACACTCGGCGCAACTCGTACATGGATGCTTCTATGCCTCTATGGCACGGCCCGTGCAGTCAGTGGCTCGCTGTGTGTGTGCAAGTGCTTTCCACTTGATGTAACATTACTTTGAAATCTCTTGCCTCACAGGAGCGGCAGATGGCAGGGACAGGGAGCAGCAGCAGCAGCAGCCAAATGAAAAGCAAAGAGAAGATGTTCGGCCAAAAGAAGACGGCACTGGTTTGGTGTGAGGTGTGTGGCATGAGTTGAGGTACAGCTACTCGGCTTAATTTTCGAGCCGACTCGCATCCAAAGGGGCCACAAGGCAGGGGGTTGGGCATTGCAGGCAGTCGGCAGGCGGCAGGCTGGGGTCGCGGTCAACTGACCAAATGCTTTGTTCCTCCGGCATGTGTGGGGATGCACGCCGAACGCTTCGCTGGACAATGAACAAGCGAAATTAGAGAATGTAAACAGCGCGTTTTATCCTGCTCGTTGCCTCTGCAACAGCAACATAAGCAGCGGCAACAACATCGTTGACATGCACAAAAAAAAAAGCGCCGTGAAACGTGGACCATTTTTCTTTGGCTTTGTTGGGCCAACAGGCGACCCGACATCGAAGACAACGCCGGCGCCAGCGCCAGCGCCAGCGCAGCTGACACGCCCATTTGGTTTGACAAACATTTCAGAAAACGCTGCACAGCACACAGCAATTACAAGCAGCTCGCGTCCCTGCATTTGCAACCTTCTGGCAGTTGCCTCATGTGGCAGCTACCTAAAGGTGTTTGCTGCTGACGTCATAACAGTAAATTAACGCCAACTTGTCCAATGCACGTAACCCAACGCACAGAGCACACATCGAACAGTCACACAGTCGAACAGCAGCCCAGACAAGCAAATTGAATTTTTTAATGGAACTTTGCCCCCGCCACAGGCAGCCAAACATCGAAATTACAAAAAACCTTTTCACAGAGCGAATGCCAATCGCATGGAAATGGGATGGGAAGTACAAGTGCGTGTGCACAGCCAAGCGAGAGTGGGCCCAACAATTTATCCCAAAAGTTCATTTACAAGATAATTTAAGTGTAAAAAATGTGTTAAGAAGCTGAGATTAATATTATTTGGGCGAATTGTCAGACGGGCTTTAAAGTTGGCTGCATTCTAGTGCTTAAAATTTCCAAATTCAAATTTTAGATGAATTATTAAAGAGAAGGCGAGTTCGAATCCCGAGCTATGCGATGAATGTAGCTTTAAGAAGTAGTTGGCTTTTTTATCTATTAATTACTCATTTCTCACTTGATTCCTGGCGCTAATAACAAAAGAAAAGGGAAGAACAAGTGACAAAAATTAAACAAAGATATTGGATAATAATCACAGGCTGAGAAATAGTTATTGCATATTTTACAATGTGTGCAAAAGGCTCTTAGATAATGCATTTGGAATGAGATCAAAATCAAAATAAATACACAATTAAATGAGTCATAAACATTAAAACTTGAACTTTTATTTATTAGTATTATATTATTAATTTAGTCGCTTATGTGAACTTTGAAATTTAGTCTTACGTAAAGTATTGATAAGCTTTTGGGAAACTAAGCGCTAATTGCGACTTTATCTAAACGAATATGTTATAGCTTAACAAATAATTGATTAAAAATATTAAGTACTTTGGCAACTACTTATTGAGCCATCCTCGCTGCTGTCGGCTTGTGTCTAGCTTCGGTGGCTACTCGAGCTGTCTGCACACATATTTATATAAAGCGTTTGCTAGACATAAATCCAACAAAACATTATATACAAACAAAGGATACACTCATGACCAAAAACCCATTTGACTAGGCAGCAGCAGCCGCAGCAGCCGCAACTGAAGGCCCAGGTCCATTGTTAAAAGCTCCGCCCCTTGCAACAGCCCACAAGCGAACAAGTGTACGTAATATGTCCAACGGTTTGTCGGTCTGCTGCCGCTTCATCAATTCAGCCATAGCCATGTCCACATTTTGGGCCAAAAACAAAGCGGCAACAACAGCAAAAACATCAAGGAAAATGCGAGGGAAGTGGAGATCGAATGCAGGAATATTGAGAATGGCAACGGCGACGGCAACGCTTCACATTTCCATTTGAATAATTTAGACATTTTCGTTGATGAATAACCGAGAGCAGATTGATAGATATTGGCCGAATACAAATGCTGGCCCGTGTGACGCGTCGTATACGCAATGCTTTACCTCTTTTATGTATGTCACTATATATATATATATATATATATATATATATATGGACATATCTATACCTCTGTGGCTTTTATGTATATGTCGCTAAACAGAGTTGTGGGCCATGCCAGTCTAGTGTGTCAGCTTTTGACTGCTCAGCAGCGTCCTTACATAAATACGTGTTTGTAATGTAGACTACAGACAGTTACATACATACATACACACACATACGATGTACAATACGTGGCCATTGTATAGATAGGTTGTATTGGCATAAAGCGCCACACTTGATTTTCATTTTGCCATTGAATCTATCAGCTGTCTGAAGGACCAAAGGACGCATTGCCAATGGCACTTTAAAGCATTTAAGGAAACAATTTAATATTGTGCTACATCAATTGGCAATTGAAAGCATTTTGTTTGCGCCAATAAAAACAGTTTCAAGCACAAATCAATCAAGCTATGATCAAAAAGGGAATTCAGTTTTCTTAAAGCTTCAATGTTTAAAAACATTATAAAGATAGCTTTTCTCTTACATTTACTTTGTCTTTTCTCCTCATATGAATAGAGTTTAAATATCTGAAGTTGATTAAAATGTATAATTTAGATGTATATAAATTATTTTCATAAATTATTTGCCTATTTTATAAATATACCTATTTCATATATCCATTTAAACTGTTGCTTATTGCCTCCCATATGCAGGATATATTATTATAAATGAGAAAAAAACTTTGTTTTATCTCCAAGTACCGATGGGAACGTCAACGATTTAGGGGACGTGCTTTTTTAAAGACTTTACTTGCTCAGCTTAGTTTCTTTGTCGCTTAGGCGCGTCCAGATACTTTATAATTAAATTTAATTTTTATAGGATTTGAAATGGGCGTCTTGAATTGTATATAGAACATTGAACACAATGCTAAAATGATTTAATTTAAAAGCCTTCTTTGTTTAAACAATGGCATGCAGCAAATCGCTGGCAAATTGTAAAATATGGCTGTGCACAGAAGCGAATCCCCACTCCAAGCTGCATAGGACAACTCATAATAATACACAAATATACTCATACTCGGACACACGCATACTCCCACATACACATCCAATTCATACGAATATTCACGTGTACTCATAGTCATACCATCGCATTTGCATACACATACGTACTCACATATACACATACTCATCCATACGCATACTCCTACATACGAATACTTACATACTCATACAGAAGCATTCTCTAATTCCACATACGCATTTTAATTCATACGAATACTTACATGTACGCATACTCATTGATATGCCCATACATACGCATACTCAAAAATAAGCATACTCATACGCACACTGATACCTGCTTGAACACAGCGTTAATTAATTTGTATAATGCGCTGTCGTCGCTGCTTCGACTGCAACTGACGGATGGACAGGTGGACAGCTGAATGGGCAGGCGGAGGGTCGACGGCACGGACCGACTGATAAGTAGCAGTAAACATACAGTGGGCTCATAAATAATATCAAGTAGGCATGCACTGGCACAGACGAGCCACCTAGCGGCCAATCAATTAAACGGCCGCTGCTCAGCCCCCGGGCCCAACAGTTGAGCTGAGCCGAGCTGGGGAAAGATGTGGCGCGAAAAAAAACGTTTATTGTGCGTGTAATCAGCTCTTAACTTATAATTTATAAAGCGGTCTGCAAAGTGTGTGTGTGCGAGTGTGCGAGTGTGTGTGTGTGTGTGTGTGTGTGTGTTAGTTCGCAGTTTAGCACTGTGAGAGATGCAACGCATCGGCGGAAGCTATAAACATCTGTATAATTAAATAAAATAAAATTAAAAATGTTAATGAACGCCTCAGAGCCTCGGAGACGACCATCGCGTTGACCATCTCTGAGCTTGGTTTGGGCTTTCAGTGTTTGCAATTTTCTTTTGGGCTCTGTTTTGCTCGCTTGATGCATGCCGCATGCCTCATGCCGCATACCGCTTGCTGCTTGCCCCTTAATAATGGGCGTGTGGCGCGCGAGCTGGCAACACTGGCGAACGCAGTTTTCGACCTAGCCCGTGGCTTGTAAACAATTTAGCGTGTCTCTTCATATTATATCATTAAAATTAATATGAGTTTGGCGTGCTGCAAGTTATTGCCACAGTTGCAGCCGCAGTCGCAGCCGCAGCCGCAGCCGCAGCCGCAGCAAAGTGCGTCTCTTCAACTGGCCCAGACAGTGGCCCAAAAGCCCAGCGGCCCGTCCAATTGGCCAAGCAGTTGAGCTCAGTCTGACTCTGGAGCGGTTGCTTCTGCGTGTCGCTTAACTAATAAGACAGACCATAAACGGGTCCACGTTTAAAATAACACAGATAGTCCGATATAAGCCCAGATGGGCCTCCCGTTAACAGCTAAATGATTAGCTACTGTGCTCGCCAATGCCTAGACAATCTACTGCGGGCTGTACAAGGCCTTAAAAAACAATGTTCACTTTAATGGAATCCATAGTCCCATTAAATATACAGTCTACACGTCATAAATTAGAATTATATTCCACAACGGGGAACTAGTTTTGGTATAAATGTTAAAATGTTTAGCTTTTTGGAGCAAGTTCTCAGCTAAAACTGTCATATTTCAGAACGTGGCAATCCTTTGATTTCGCCCAATTCTCATATGAATCAAAATCAAACGCATTTCAGACATAAATTGTGATATATGCTTCGCCACTTTTGTCAAAATTGAATTCTACATTTTAAATGCCAATCTTTTATTATTTTTATTTTAATTAAATTAATTATTATAGAAATTTAAATGTAAGAAATTAAAAATGCCCATGGCGAATTCTGGAAAATTCTTCTATCAGGACCTTTCCCGAACAAGACGTGTATCAAGCGTATACTGAAAAAAACAAGGTATTAACTTCTCGATTTTAGCTGATTTTTAAATATAGTAACTAAGCTCTATAGATTTATGGATCTTGAAAAAATAAAAAGCAAAAATAGCGCAGTTTTATAAATGACTCAATTGCATAAGCGCATTGTCGAGTTGAGTCGCTTTTATGATGACAATATTTACACATAAGCCAGAGGCAAAGCTAGATGGCCCAAGCAATCCAATCCGTGGAGCGCCCTCTGGCCACAGTCGTAGCCACAGACTGCATGCAAATAAGGCGGAATCTCAAGCTGAGGCCCAGGTTCAGCTTCAGTTCGGCTTCGGGTTCGAGCTCAGGCTGAGGCAGCAACTGCAGCTAGGGGGCATTGTGGCTGCCTAACACGACACTGACAAATGTTAATCCATTAAGACGCTGTCAATGGCCAAATACGTCACAACAGAGTCCCGAGTCGAGAATCGAGAGTCGGTAGTCGGTAGTCTGTAGTCGAGAGTCTGGGAGTCGTCGCAGGCGGCTACTGTTTGCCTTGGCCTTTGTTTTTGCTACGGTTTCGTCTGCTGCGTATTAGCCGCGACCTGTAACTTAATTGGCCAGCAGCTCAGCCAGCGGCAGCTGGTCAAGTGCATTGACTTGGATTTGGCTGGCAAGACAAATGAGAGACGAAGCTGAGAGCTGAGAGCAGCAAATTGCCAATCAGCTGCGTGCGGCGATCGACGCCGCTTGCCGTTTGCCGCTTGCCACTTGCCACTTGCCACTTGCCACTGGGCAGGTGTTGAACAACTGGCAACAACTTAATAAACCCGATGCACAGTCCGATGCACAGCCCAAAAAAAATAGCTTTGGCTTTGCGTAGCGCGTGCCATGAACATTTTTAAGTGCCAGCTCATTAATCGTAATCGGCAGGCAGCTTCGACTAGGACTACGACTACGACTACGGCTACGATTACGATAACTGCAGGCCGGGGGCCAGTTGACAAAAAGGCTTAAATGCCAAAGATGCGGCTGGTTCGATCGTTTGTCTAATTGGGAACTGGAAAACTGGAGCTGGGCGCATCGACTGGCTGCACGCCTCTTTCTCATTTGTCAGCGTTCGTTTTTAGGTGTAAATATGTTAATGAGTGTGAATAATTTCCTAGAATTTCCTGTGCCACAGTCCAACAGTCCAAGTCGCACTTAATTGCAATTGCCGGCGCGCCCCGTCGCCACCCGTAGCACCGCGTCGCACCTCGGCGCACACATGGCGTATGACGTATGCGAGCGATTAATTTCGCTCAGTGCGTAATCAACTCGAAAATTTATTGAAGTTGCAATAATTGCGCCCATGGCGTACCATCAACTCAACTCAACGCAGTCGCCGACATCGACGTCGGCGCCGACATCCGATGCTGACTGCGTCTTCGCATCGCTTGCCAAATGCCTAAACGCGCTCATTAGAAAAGCTTTCACCTGCGTGCCTCCGATTTGAGGCCACAAACGAAGAACCCCAATAGCGAGGGAGAGATGCTTAATTTGAGACGAAGACGTTGACGGCAACTGAGTGAGAGTGAGGGAGAGGGGCGCTGCAAAGGAGACGCAAAAGTCAACCTAGACGGCAGCGCGGATAAATCGTTAAAGTCAGTCGGCTAACCAATACACTGCGAGAATCGCTCAAGTTAGCTATTTTGAATTTAAATTAAAACAAAAGCAGGCTGCCTTAATCGTAATCCATTTAATTTAATTCCTTTACATATGCAGCTTGAAGCTATTGGCTTAATTAGCATATATATATTCCCCCCCCTCTCCATATATTAATGTTCAGTACTCTTGTTTTTTGAAATAAGCGTTTAATTGAGACTTCAGTTTCTATCATTTACCAAGGCCTTGTCCTGAGTCCAAAACTAAAACCGGTTAAAAATGATTAGATATACAAATTATATATTTATGCCAAAGAAGACACATTTTCGATCCTAAAAATAAACATTTACTATCATGATCAACATTTATTGTCATGAGTTAGTAAGTCAAACTCGGTTAAATGCCTACAATTCGTTGGAATCGACAGGGTATATTTACGTCCAGCACTTACCTTTCAAAAAACTTAAACCTGTATATATGCATATATACTAGCGGGTATAGCCCGCCCTTGCCCGTGGCAGGTATGAAATAAATGTTCTCAAAATGCTTTGAAAATGATTTTGAAACTGATCGGACGGTTAATATGCTGCTTTCACAATAACGTTATCTTCCAATTTACCACTGTTGAGGGTGGAATTTCCTAAATCGCTGAAACACGCATTAATTAAGCAAATCGGACGCCACTTAAAACATTGCCCTTCGCATTTCTACCGAAGGAGTTAAGATTTTGCGAAAAATTTGAAAAACGTCTCAAATGATTTTTCACAACGCTCCTTGAAAATGAATTTGAGCGCGAAACGCCATCCACCAAAAACAAAGTTTCATACAAACGATTTTCGCTATTTTTCCATACTTGAGGGTAGAATTTTCCGTAACCCCGTCTTAATGTGCACCTTTATCGTATAAGGTAACTACACCGAACAATTAATTAATTAAATTAATTAGCAAGAATCACCCAGCATAACCCGACCAAATGATCAGTTTTCTTGTCAATTTCTGATCATAGGTGTATTTTTCAAAATCGTTAGTGCACACATTTACTTATTATCTAATTCAAGTTACTAATTATCTAATGAAAATAAGGGACGTTAAGACGAAGCATAAGAGCAAAAGTGGTTGAATACAACCTTTTCCACCAATTTTTCACCCTTGCAAGTGGAACTGCATCAGAAAAGAGTGCTACTATGACGAATCAATCAAACAGTCAGTATATATATATACATATCCATATTTATGATTATAAATACATTTATATATTTACATTTTATAATAATTATTATAAAAGTGCTGCAAAGTGCTTTAAAACGAACCCCCTTAATATTGCAGTGCATGAGTGTGAGCTTCTGCCCCTTAAACCAATTCGTGCATCCACCCGTTCCCGTTTCTGTCACCCCCGTTAACCCCATCGCCCCTGACAAAAACCCAGCAGATCTCAACGTTTGGCTTTTGCGGCTGGCGGCTGGCTGCTGTATCAGGAGCCCGTCATGTTTCATGCATGAATTGTAGCACAACTTTTGTTGTTCTTGTGCAATCGAGTCAAGTGGCGCACAGCCGCATTAAAATATGCCGCGATTTGTGTTTAGAGCTTTCAATCAAGCCAAGACTCAAAACCAAAGGCAGTGCCAAAACCCACAGCCATAACCCGAATACACATCCATCCATCTGGGACTCGCGTCGTGGTTATATGTGTGCATATGCCTCTCACTTGGCCATTGTTCTTGCGCGACTTTAACTCGCAAATTGACTTTAAAATTGCTGGTCGCCTCTTTGAGGCATTCAAAAATACTCGAAAAAGTGTATGATTCCCATTTTAGATATCAAGAGATACGCATGGAATGGAATATCTGATGAGGCATCTGGAGAGAACATAGAAAGAAAGTCAAAGCTATAAGTTAAGCTATATGATTAGCCCACTTTAAAATATGATTTGCCTGAGAGACTAGTTGGTATCGGAATAGAAAGACACTGCCATAAATATTTTCTGAGCAAATTATGATAACCCCATGGAAGGGCATAGCCCAATTACAGAGGTTATTAACTATTTCTCCAGATGGCTTAGTATTGTTTCCTTAAGTGAAAGCAGCCGCTTATCATAAAATAAATATGCCCAAACTAGCCGCAGGGCTTTGCCAAATGCCATTTATCAAGTGTGAAATGAAAGGTCCAACCGCAAAGATCTTATCCCATGGCTAATTTGCAGATACACAATTTTCTTGAAACTTCGTATTTGTATCAAATGTGAAGATAAAGTTGCATTAAAATTTAACAGACATTGAACAAACGATCTGAATATGTTCAGGTATACTTAGCGAGTACTCGGAGCGCACTCAAATAACCCTTAGCCCCTCATCCATACACTCGCTCATATACTCACTCACTCACTCACTCAGTCAGTCAGTCAGTCAGTCAGTCAGTAAGTGCCTTAGGGCAGGTCTCAGTCTGGGCTCTGTTGTCTGGGGCTCTTTTGGATATACTGTGTCTTACGACCTGGCGTTAAATTTATTACAACAAACTGACCGAAAAAACAAAAAAAAACGAGAACGAAAAACGACTGAGAAAACGTTGCAAATTAAAACAATTGCATAGTTTGCATAATTTTTGTAAACAAACTGGTGGCAAAGACGTCGCCCAGAACCACAGCCGCTAACACTAACAGCCCACCAGCAGCTAACTATCAATAGTTCGCTGGCCAGGGGTAGATGGGCGGGGCGCAGGTGGGGGCGTAAAGCTGCCAAGAAACGCGCCAAAGTGCGGATTAAGCCATGGGCCTTTTGGGCCTTAAGCTGGCTTTAAGCTTCGCTGATTTGATGTGTGTTTGCTGGAGGAGGTGGTTGGGCGGAGATACCGCAACGTTAGCCACCGAGTAGCATCTGTTTTTCCCCGCAGTTTAGGCGGAAGTGCAACTGCAACAGCAGCAACGACGCGTCGCAACGTCAACAACTCAAAGTCAGGCAATCGATTGCCAAATCCCTCACTCTGTGTGTGTGTGTGTGTGTATTGCAGTTATTCAATTTTAATTTTATCGCTGCTACATGAAAAACCTTTTAAACAACACAACACAGCAGTGGGTGGCTGCTGGGCAGCAAGCCCTCGGCTTATCAACTGTTATCGATAGGCTGCTTGGCAGGCAACATACACAGCAAGGCACAAGTCTTGTGGGCCTTGGGCAGGCACAGTCCGAAAGAGAGCGAGCGAGAGAGATCAAAGCAGAGAGAGCGCAGTATAGTCCAACAGAGGCAACGACAAATTTGTTAACATTTGAAAAGTGTTCAATATAAAAACAGAATTGTACTTAGGCACACAGGTAGTTCGACTGTCAGGCATAATTGGCTATACAACATCTGAAAGCTTGATTGACAGATATATCGACTATGCCTCACAGCTAACAACAAACATAGGTTAGTAATC